CTGAAAACCCCAAACCCCCCCTGAAATCCCCCAAAACTGCCCTTGGACCCCCCAAATCCCCCCTAAACCTCCTCTAGGTCCCCCTCCCCACCCCTGCTTGATTAATCCCTGATTAATTAATGATTAATCCTAATTAACCCCTCAGAGCTCCGGCGCCTGGCCTCCATCCTGGTCAGCGACTGGATGGGGGTGATCCGCTCCCAGAGCAGCTCTCAACCCACAGGTGAGCCCCAAAATCCCCCAAAATTCCCCCAAAAACTCCCCAGAATCCCTTCCAAAATTCCCCTGAAATCCCCTCACCCCCTTTTCCCACCCCAGAACGGGATAAGAAGAAGAGGAAAGAGGAAAACAAAAGCAAAACCCCAGTCCCGGAGAAGCCCCAGGAGACCAAAAACGAGGCAAAAAATGAGGAAATTCCCGAAAAAAAACGGGAAAAACCCAAATCCCTGCGGACCACGGCCCCCAGCCACGCCAAGTTCCGCTCCACAGGTGGGATTTGGGGCTGGTTTGGGTATTTTTTTGGGTAGTTAGGAGTGGTTTTAAGGGAAATTTGGGCTGGTTTTAGGAATTTGGGGTTGATTTGGGCTGTTTTAGGGGAGTTTGGGGTGGTTTTTGGGAATTTAGGGCTGGTTTTAAGGGAAATTTGGGGCTGGTTTTGGGATTTTGAGGCTCTTCTGAGGAATTTGTGCTAAAACTGGGGAACTTGGGATGGGTTTGGAGCTCGCTGAGGGAAATTTGAGACGGATTTGGGGTTGATTTTGGGGAATTCGGAGCTCAAGCTCCACTGTTGGGGTTTTAACAATTCAGGGCCATTTTAGGGCTGGTTTTTGACCTGTTTGGGGGATTTTTGGGGCTGTTTTGGGGATTTCTGAGCCTTTATTCCCCTCAGGGCTGGAGCTGGAGACGCCGTCGCTGGTGCCATTGAAGAAACTGAATTCGGCCTCGTCTGACAAATACAACCTGAAACCCGTCCCGGTGAAGAGACAGAGGTGGGATTTGGGGGGATTTTAGGGGATTTTAGGCCAATTTTGGTGTTTCAGTGCCATTTTGGGGTCTCAGAGCTGCTTTTGGGGCTGATTTGGGCGAATTTTTGGAGATTTTTGGGGCTGGTTTGAGGCAGTTCTGGAGATGTTTCAGGATTATTTTGGGGGTGGTTTTGGGGTTTTTTTGGGGTGCTTTTGGGGTTTTGGGGTTGGTTTTGGGGATATTTTGGAGGTCTCTGAGCCATTTTGAGGTGCAGTTTTAGGGGTGGTTTTGGGGTCATTTTAGGGGTGGCTTCAGGGTGTTTTTGGGACAATCTCAGGTATCTCTTTTGGGGACATTTTCAGGGGATGGGTTTGGGACCATTTTGAGGGAAATTTCAGGGGTTTTGGGGTGGTTTTGGGGGGTCCTGACCCTTTTTCCTCCCCCCAGCGCCCCGACAGCCCCCGGGGAGGCTCCTCTGGCAGAGAAGAAATACAAACCCCTGAACACGGCCCCAAACGCGGCCAAGGAGATCAAAGTGAAGATCATCCCCCCGCAGCGTGAGTTTGGGGCATTTGGGGGCTTTTGGTGCCATTTTGGGGTTGATTCTGGTGCCATTTTGGAGTCATTTTGGTGCCATTTGGGATTCTTTTTAGGGCAGATTTGGGCACCATTTTGAGGCAGGTTTGGGACTCGTTTTGGGGTGAATTTGGGGGGTTTTGTGATCCTTTTTAGGGCAGATATGGGCACCATTTTCAGGGCAATTTGGGCACCATTTTAAGGCAGGTTTGGGACCTGTTTTGGGGTGAATTTGGGGTTTTTTGGTGACCTCTCTCTGCTCCCCCAGCCATGGAAGGCCTCGGGTTCCTGGATGCCCTGAACTCAGCGCCCGTCCCCGGCATCAAAATCAAAAAGAAGAAGAAAGTTCTGTCCCCAACAGCAGCCAAGGTGAGGGACATTTTGGGACACTTTAGGAAAACTTTAAAAGCCATTTTTAGAGGTACCTCAAATCCCTTTTTGGGGACACTTTGGGGGTTATTGCAGGCACACTTTTAGGGGCTAATTTGTAAATATTTTGAATAATTTTTTAAGAACACTTGGGGTAATTTGTAGACCATTTTGAGACCATTTTTGGGGCCATTTTGTTGCAGTTTTAAATCCTTTTTTGGAGACGTGTGGATTTTTAGGATGCCAAT